CCCCCACCTGCCCCCCGAACACCATCATCATCATCATGATCATCCTAATCATGCCGCCGGCCTCCTTATCTCCCATCATCAAATCTGCTCTGACTCAAAGCAATTATCTCTCATTTGTTCACCGAGGCCCAGCCGCCAATCAACACCCCCACCCCAGCACCCCTGTAAACCCCACCCAACAAACCCCAAAGCAACCCGCCGCCACCTAGTGGGGAAGGGCAGCGTCAACATCATGAAAACGCGCATTTACACCGGAAAGGGGAGCGGGTGGGGACGGCGGACCCTGGCGGGCTTTGCTGCATGCATCACCACTGATGGGTGACGACACCCACGTGAGGTGACTGAGGCATCATCACTTCCTGTCATGAGGCGAAGGGCGCCACCGAGAGGGAGGGCACGCAAGTCGGGGGGCATACAACCTTTAGTTTTCGGATCAACTGATGCACAAAGGATTCTGTAATCCTGACCCTGTTATCGGTGGCACAGTCCTGTTTCAGTCCCGATTTTTCAGCGACTGCGAGGCAGCTCACGTGGATGGATGGATGTGGCCAGCAAGTCCAAATCAGCAAGCTTCCGTCACGTGCACTTGCACACGTTACCGTGTCTGTCATCAGCTTGAGGTGAATCAGTCACCACCTACTTCCCTTAGAGACAAAAAAAACAAAAAACGTTCTTCATTTTTGTCAGCGGTTGTCATCTTACCACTACCGGGCACATTCTTCCCAGGTTATTGATAAGCATCCTGGTAATTGGTTATTGATTGGAGGCGCCAGCGTGCCGTCCAGTCGTCCTGGCGTGTCGCATTCATTCCCAACTTTCGGCGTGTCATCGACAGGTCTCGGCGGGCCTCTGCGCCATGACGCGCTTCATGCTGCGGCTGCCCGACGAGTACAAAAGGGAAACGCTCCTCTTGGTGAAGCTGGCCGGCCCGGTGGTGAGTCTGGTGAAGCAGTATGTGGCACACTTTTGTCTTTCTAGATGCTATAAAAGAATTTGTGATCACGTGACGGCGCGCTGTGTCGCATTCCAGCTGCCGCGCCATTTGGAAGAACTCGCAGACTGCATTAATAGGCCATGGGATGTTTCTGTTTGTGCAAGAACCTTTTTGATTTTGAAGAGAATTGTGCTGGACGTTCAGATTGATCAATTGATTTGAAGTGATTATGTGACAAAAGATGGCTGAGGCTAGCTGAGGTTCAACGTCCAAGGGAAGCGCTGTTTTTAAGGGGCTGATCATTTGAATCGGGTGTGTTGGGAGTCGGGAGGGATCTAGAATAGGCAGGATATAGCTCTCAAGGAACCGGAGTTCCCTACCCCTGCTGTAGATCAATGGACAGACACAGAGAATCAGTTGAAAATAACTAGCTACATTAGCTAGCTAGCTAGTTAGAGGGCTAGCTCGCTAGACTAATCTACCTTTAAATCAGTTTCTTCTCCTCTTTCCAGCTCGTCAAACTAGCCTCACATGTTCTCAAAGAGCTCATGCTAATGTTTGCGTTAAGAGTTTGTGCTAGCGTCTTCACATTTTTCACAAAGGTGACAACGGAGCGACCTTTGACGTTTTCTTATTCTTTCAGTTCATTTCTCAGCTGATGAGCTTCCTGATCGGCTTTGTCAGCCTGGTGTTCTGCGGCCACCTGGGGAAAACCGAATTGGCCGGCGTGGCGTTAGCGATCGCGGTAAGACGTCTTTTGGCCGAATCGCACGCGATGATCTCACGCCACCGTTTTGCCTCAGGTGATAAACGTTTCGGGTATTTCCATCGGCAGCGGCCTGGCGTCAGCATGCGATACGCTCATCTCTCAGGTATTCTTTTGAGTTGGACGGAGCTGTCTTGACTTCAGAGCCACCTAACATACAACTGTGCGAATCAATCATTTGAGTGGGTGCCTCGCATGTTTTCCTTGTTGTCGCCGGCAGACGTACGGCAGCGGCAACCTGAAACTGGTGGGCGTGATCCTGCAGAGGGGAATCCTCATCTTGCTGCTGGCCTGCTTGCCCTGCTGGGCCGTCCTGGTCAACACGCAGCCCCTCTTGCTGGCCGTCGGCCAGAGCGTCCACGTCGCCAGGTGGACTTTGCGCACATCCGCCTTTTTTTTAATTTTAGAATGAAGGTTTGTCTGTGTTTTTACAATGCTCCTTTATTCTGCTCAAAGGCTCGCTCAGCTCTACGTCAACATTTTCATGCCGGCTTTACCCGTGAGTGCACCCCAAAAAGATTCTTTTGTGCACTGCATATGAAAGTCATCAATGGCATCGACGTGTCTTGGCAGGCCGCCTTCATGTACCAGCTGCAGGGGAGGTATCTTCAGAATCAGGTGCGAGCGAGTCGTCGACTGCCGGGCGTCGTTTACCCTTTCTCTGGCCGCCCATCAATCAATGAATGAGTGAACGCTATCTGTGGCAGGGCATCATGTGGCCTCAGGTGATATCCGCAGCCGCCAGCAACATTTTCAACGCAATCATCAACTATGTCTTCCTGGTGGTGCTGGATCTCGGGGTAGCGTGAGTACATGCGTGCGTGCTTCAAAGGCACGTGAGTTGTTGTGGTCAATGAGTACAGGAATAGTCAATGAATACGTGGACGGATTTGCTTTGGTGTATGGCGGGGATGTTTGATGACTCACCACGAAACGTGATCATTTTGGAAAATTCAGCACCCAGAAGCCGGTTTAACCTACAAACATGAATTTGGTGGGCCTTTCTATCGTGACTAGCGACACAAACAAATCTGAAGACGCTATGTCTGAGAAGATCCAGGAAGTGGGTCTAGGTGCAAACTTGAATGAATCGCATGCATTAAATTTGATTTTTTTTTTCTTCAAATATCCAGCTGCTAGAACCACTTTTACCTAGAAATATGGAATGTCAAATGTTTTTCTATCATGAATAGACAAATGGAAAAACCAGAGAAAGCCGTGCCTGAAAAGACACAGGAAGGCAGCCATTTTGGGTCTTGAAGGTGACATTTGATGATTCAACTCGCCATAAAAAAAAACCAAAAACTTTTTTTTAAAATTCAGCATTCAAAACCAGTACGAAAGAGAAGCATGAAATGTAACTCGCGACACAAAAAAATGTCTCAAGAGGCTGTGTCCAAAAAGACACAAGAAGGCAGCCATTTTGGGTTAAAGCAGCTATCAAAGGGGTGAAGTTTGATGACATGTCAAGATGTTTTTTTTTGTTTCTATTGTTTTTAATTCAGCTCCTGAATTTTACTGATCAATGTACATTTGGTTGGCATATCTATTATGTGTTAGACCCACAAAAAAGTCAAGAGGCCGTGTCCAAAAAGCCACAAGATGATCGCCATTTTGGATGAAAGCGGCTGTGAACCGCAAACCTTTCTTCTAAATTCATTCCTTTTAGTTTGACTGAACAAGATAAACTTTTAATAAATGTGTCTTTCCTTCTTGTTCGTCTCTCCAACCAAAAGTGGATCGGCGGCCGCGAATGCCATCTCGCAGTGTTCCTTGATGGTGTTTTTGTTTGTGTACATGAACGCCAGGGGTCTTCACAAAGCCACGTGGGGCGGTAAGTCAGAGCGACGCTCGGGGCTATCCCACAATATGCAATTCAGTGGCATACAAAATTCACCCTTGGACTGAATTGAGGTGGTTTCAGGTTGGTCGCTGGACAGCTTGCGCGAGTGGGGTCCCTTCATGCGCCTGGCGCTGCCCAGCATGATGATGGTGTGTCTGGAGTGGTGGCTCTACGAGATTGCCGGCTTCCTGGCCGGCTTGATCAGCGAAGTGGAGCTGGGAGCCGAGTCCATCCTTTACCAGCTGGCCGTCATGGTCTTTATGGTATGATGAGATGTGGTTGTGACATCAAACCATGCCGCAACTACTACTACTACCACCACCGCTGATGAAAAACACAAAATTCCGAGAGCAGGAGCTCACGCTAAGGCAAAGACATTTTATTCAATTGGAAAATATCCTTCCCGCAGTTCCCCGTGGGCTTTTCCGTGGCAGCTAGCGTTCGTGTGGGAAACGCTCTCGGGGCCGGGAACACCGAGCTGGCCAAGCTGTGCGGGAAGGTCTCGGTCACATGCGCATGTACGTCCAGCGCGCCTTCAAACGCCGCCGAAATGTTCAACTTGAATCACCTTGTGGTTTTTGTTTCCCGTCCAATCCAGTGGTGGTGTCATGCTTCACCGGGACTTTCCTGGCCCTGTGCCGCAACTTCATCGCTTACATTTTCACCACAGACAAGTAAGGTCCACGTGTTGAAGGCGTCCTCGCTTTGGTCCGTGTTTTGTGATGTCACCACCCCTTGCTCCTCTTTGCACCACAGGGAGATTGTGGCAAGGGTGGCAAATGTTTTAGAGATGTACAGCGCCAGCCATGTGGCCGATTCCTTTGCGGTAAGGATGACGATGTCATCAACACGATTTTTTTTTTTGCTCCACCACTTTTTTTTTTTCACCACACCCTCAGGCCGTGACGGGAGGAATCGTCCGGGGCGCCGGGAAGCAAACGGTGGGCGCGCTGTGCAGCTTGTTGGGCTACTATGTGGTGGGCTTCCCCATCGGAGTGTCGCTCATGTTCCCCATCAACTTGGGAATCTTTGGTGAGAGGATTCTTTCTCATTTTGTGGATGAAACGGAGTATTTTTCAATGATACTGATCTCGAGTGTTGTGATTTACCACAGGACTGTGGGCGGGATTCCTGATCTGTGTGGTCCTGCAGTCCCTCTTTTACACCATCTACTTGTGCAAGCTCAACTGGAAAAAAGCCACAGTGGAGGCGAGTACACGTGGCAAAATGCAAAGGTCAACATCATGGGCTCAAAATCGCTTGAGGGGACTTGCTCTCAAAGCAAGTCCGTCAATTCTTGGTTGGGCAGGTCAGCAGTCATTGATTGCATACCTGATGTGCTGACATAAGACACATGGTCCATGAATGAATGGGATTTTTGCTTTTAAATAGGTGATTACCACTATCCAAAATCAATAAGGTACTTGCTAGCAAGTGTCATTCATACAAATTGACTGTGACACGTTTTGACCTCTCATAGACGTGTATACCAACAGTCTGATGTAAAGCCATTGTCGTTTTTCTTTTTTTTTTCCTAATTCAAAATCTATATGATTCTCTAACATTGTGTTTTGGCACGCAGGCGCTGGTACGCGCTGGAGTCCATGTTCGAGAACAGGATAAGATCTTTGTCATCGACAGCAAAAGTAAATCTGGCTGAAACAAAAACAAAAAAAGAAATATTTCATGTTTTGTTGAAAGCAGTTGTGGCTGATTGAAATCTGCCCAGCAACAACACGTGACACTCTCTTCTTCCCAGCATGTGAGCAGCAGATGAGTAACCCCGCAGCCAATCCTTCAAGTCCAGAACAACCCGAGCCGGACGCAGCCGTCCCGTTATCCATCCGGCAGCTGGCACTGCGCCGCGGCCTGGCAGTGCTCTTCATGTTCGCGCTCCTCGGCGCCGGAGTGCTCGTCAGCGAGCTGCTGGTCCCCCTGCAATTGAACTGATTTTGAGCCAAAATGGCCGCCGCGCAATACTCAGTTTCACCGCAGGGGCGAACGTCTGGATGGAAGATGCTTTTCACTGACCTCTCTGGTCATGTGCTGCCCCCTGTTGATTAAACCGGGTACGACACATCTTCAAATGCTTTCAGCGCCCTCACCTTTGATCAGGACACGGCTCGTTGTTGACTTTGCTACTGGTTTATTTTCACCCAAATTCGATGGCAAAAATCCTTTGAAGAACCTCGCTCGCGAAAAGAAACTGCACTTAATTAAACAACTGAAACTATTTTTTCTGTGTGTTGAACATCAACCTCCTGGAATTTAGCACTGCGGCACGCAAAGCCATTGAATGCATTCCAAATCAACCTGGAATCACTTCTCACAGGCAACCGGCGCACCCAGCCGAGATTGCTCGAAATTTCCTCTCCGGAGGCTGCAATCAGTGTCACGCTGTGCCGCCATTCACAAAATCAAGGCTGTGTATATTGTTGTGCACAACTCGTGGCAACAGTTCGGGTTGACAGTCTGGTAAACATGAACCCAAAATAAGGATGCTTCACACCTCATGGCGGACTTTCTCTGTTTTTGGGGGGCATAATCTCTTGAGACATTTTTTTGTGGGTCTACTCATGATAGACATCCAAAGACTATGAGACAGTAGACAAAAGCAAAACCACTGCAAAGAAAATGATGTTGTCTAATAAATTAGGATCAACTAAATGTTGCTTTGCATTTAGATTTCTTCCTGCATGATTTTGAGCGCGACAGGCATTTTTCGGCATGTGTGTACATTTTATTTCATGAAACACTCGCTTGGGGATAGCATGACAAAGAATGACGCGAGCACACATGGCCACCCCACTGAAAATTTTCTGGCTCCGCCGCTGGGTATGAGCGTGCGCATTAGTGCGTGCGCGCATGTGAGTGTAATTGCATCTGACCTTTGCTCAGCACCGGATCTTTTGAATGAGCTGCAGCGACGCAGGAAAGAAAGGACTCAAATTAATCAAAGGATGTGATGGCGCTTATCTCGTTGGCAAATTTGCTGGAGGACAGTCATAAAATAAATTTGACAAGTCGAGCCAATGTCACTCACGCGCGCGGTGCAATGCATTGTCGTGGCATTACGAGCTTCTGATTGCATTTTGGCAGGTTTTCACGCTCATTTCCATGCATTGAAGGAGGGCAAGAGAGTTTTTAGATTGATTCAATTGTTTTGTGCTATGGCCTCCAATCAGATTGCGCCAATCTTATCTGACAACACTGGGGACGACTCTGGCCGCTGTTCTCAGCCACTTTTGCACATTTTAGGTCAAGTCATTTTTTTTTTTTTCAGGCAGTGCAATTTTTTTTTTTTTTTACGTCCACACCCACGATTGCGCACCAGCCAACAATAAAAAGGGTACAACATCATTGATAACAAAGACTGGGAAGTCATAAAGCCGAACAGCATCTTTAATAGCGAGCTGACACATTGTCACGTCCCAGATCTTCACGCCAACACACTCGGGTGAGCCACGCCGCTAGTTTTGTAAAACGCTGCTGACTATTCTTGCTGCACTTTGCATTCACAATACAAAGCGTGGACGCTAGTTATCGCTATCCGACTTAGAGCCGCTCATGAGTGCTAGTCACTTTTTTTTTAGGATCTCAATGAGCTTTGGAAGCTCAAAAGGATACTGTTGTTATTATAGTTGCTCCACTTTTTTTTGTTTGTGCAAGTCGACAAAAGGACTTCATAAAGAGCGTATGATTCATCCTAAACTATTTTCTCTCACTCGCTTACCAGGAAGGAATAAAATGGCATCCTACTGTTTTCTTGTGTTAGCGATGTGTGCGGCGCAGACGTTGTGTAAGTATTACACACACACACACACACACGCACGCACACGCACTGCTTGTGAATGCTCAGAAACAGTATTGTCGTCACATGGTCGTTCTTACCTCCGCCAAGGCCAAACTGCACACAGTGAAGCTTTTGTCATTTGGTTAAGCGTCATGGTTATGCTTTTGGATTTTTTTGTCATTGCAGTTATTGTGTTGCTCGATTCCAGTTTGTTTTAATTCGTTTTTATTTTTTCAAAAATGCTTCCTTTTAGTTGAGTTTTTAATTAGTTTGAGTGTTGTTTGATTTTTCTTTTTTGTTTACATATATGGTGTATTTGTCAAGTGCAAGATGAAAAAAAAAAGTCACTCAGTATTCTATAATAAAGTAAAGGTAAACTGCAATTGTCAAACGACTGTTTGCCCTTCTTCGAGTTAACTTGATAAAAAAAAAAGTATTCTATAATAAAGTGAAGGTAAACTGCAATTGTCAAATGACTGTTTGCCCTTCTTCGAGTTAACTTGACTGAGGGAATTAGCATTTTGCCGCTAATCTAATTGTCATCCCCCCCCAGGCATCACCATCGAGTCAGTGCCCGGCATGGACGGCGAACGAGTCATCCTGACCGAGCTGGAGCGAACCGTGTCGCTGGTGTGTTTCAGCAACCGATCGGAGGACGAAGCGGCGGAGCTGGTGTGGCTGAGGAACGGCCGGATGGTGGCTCTCCGCGAAGGAAACCGCCAGGGACAAAGCGGCGTGTGCATCATGCCGGTTATCCACCAGGACAACGGTGCCACCTTCACCTGCCGCCTGCGCAGCAACGCCAGCGTTGAGGCTTCCGTCACGCTCAACGTTACATGTAAGCGTCGGCAGAAACTGCGGAGTGCAGACCTCCGCCAAAGCCAAACAAACCTACACATGTCCTAAAAACTACTTTTGATTGAGAAAAAAAAACTTTTACCCCAGTCCTGTCGGTGACAGTCATCTGTCGTATAAACCAATTTAGGATGGGGACAAAATATGCCCGTTTTAATCATTTACGATTCGGTAGTGATATCACGATACTGAAGTATTGTCATGTATCATGACACTGCTGGTATTGTGACATTTTCAATATGTTATTGATAAAGCGGCACCAAACACGTTAGGTATTTTGTTTCGAGAGTAACAGTAGCTATCCATTATGTTCCCCTCCTCAGATCCGCCCATAGTGTCGGGATCCGAAGGAGTATGGGTGGAGCAAGCCTCGCCGCTGCTCCTGAGCTGCGACACCTTCGCCAACCCGCCCGTCTCCTCGGTGCGCTGGACCCTCAACGGCAGCGCTATCGACATCCTCGCGGGACGCTTCACTCTGACCGACGACGGCTTCACGAGCCGGCTGGCTGCTGACAAGGCGGAGAAGAGTAAGCATGAAGGCCTCTACCGCTGCACGGTTGACTCGCCTGTCTATGGAATCAAGAGCAAAGATTTCCTGGTTACCGTCACAGGTGAGTCTTTCAGATCCAGAACCCACTGTCGAGCCCCCCACGCTGCGAATTTTTGCTGTCCGCAGAAAGGACACTGAAGTTTCCGCTGATGCCCATCATCGCCGGCGTGGTTGTGGTGTGTCTTACGGCAGTCCTGGCCATTGTATCACGCTGGAAGAGAATTAGCAAGGTAACTGGCGCCTCCAGGACATGGACAAAATGATTCAAGACACAAACCATCCCTGTGGGTGTGCTTAGGTGTCCCAAGACTTTTGTCCATATAACATCACTAATGGTGGCGCAACGGGTCTCCTAACGCTGAACTTTTCTCTCCCGACAGTGCTGCAAGTGAACGATTGTCATCAACGTCACATCCCTGTCTGCAGTCGGTTAGCTTAGCGCTGAGGATCAGAGAACCAGCAATTTAACGGACTCCTTTTGTAGATCGCCACATGACTGCTCGTCTTCATGACAGGAGGGACAAGCCCTTGCCCTGAGTTACGCTTTGCGTCAATTCAAGTCTAAGATTGCCAGCAAATTAAACAACTCCTAATGTAGCCCTCCGTGAGGACGCCTCTTTGTTGTATATTGGAACTCAATGAGACTGCCTGAAGCCAGTTAGCTTAGCATGAAGCCAATTAAAGAGTCCTTTTGTAGCATTTCACGCCTTTTTATTGGAAACCGCAACTCGAACAGCCAGTTAGCCTAATATAAGGCTAACTCCGGACCATTGTACTTGGCGCTGTTATTCTGCCACCTAAATAGCTTATACTTTTATTTTTACCTCGCAATCACACGTTTTTTGTCGTTGTTTATTTATATGGGCAATCTAGTATTTAACCAAATTGGAAGCAATGTTTTCAATACGTGTTCTTATTTTTACATCCGAGACAAGTGGATTTAAACCAAAATTGAAGACGGGTTTTTATGCCTGACCTTTAACTCCTGACTCAGTGACACTGACTCATTAAAATGGTGTTGTACATTTACTTTTAACGAGACTAAAAGCGACGCATCAATGTTCAAGGCCACGCTCCTACTGTCACTTACCCATAAAATGAAATATGCTGGTGTACGTGTTCACTTGGTGAGAAATAATCCAAATAAATAAAGAACGGGTTCACCCATCAATGTGTATTCTGTGGATCGGATTAACTCAATATCGATTAAAAGAAATAAAGAAAGCAAAGTGGTAACGTGGCCTGGTTCATGTCAATAGGTCTTGCATAACATGTATAGAACTGAAGAAAATCTTGTACGTTGGTCATCACTGCACATTGATTAATCACATTGTGATTCAACAGAAATTGGATTAAGGCTCATGAGACAGGCTGATGATAACGTTGAAAATTTTCCTTGAGCCATCTTTCCCACACAAAAACATGACAACACTGAGAGCAGGACGCCAACCTACAACCACAGAGGCACTAGCGACACCTGCAGGTCTATTCAGGAACCACAGAAAAAAAATAACGTTCGGAAGCAGTTGATTCATTTAATCTTTGCTTTTGGTGATAAAGAAATCCAAACACATGAAGACTAAATTTGATATAACTTTTAACGAGACTAAAAGCGACGCATCAATGTTCAAGGCCACGCTCCTACTGTCACTTACCCATAAAATGAAATATGCTGGTGTATGTGTTCACTTGGTGAGAAATAATCCAAATAAATGAAGAACGGGTTCACCCATCAATGGGTATTCTGTGGATTGTACTAACCCATTATCAATTAAAAGAAATAAAGAAAGCAAAGTGATAACGTGGCCTGGTTCATGTCAATAGTTCTTGCATAACATATCGGTAGATAGAACCGAAGACAATCTTGTACGTTGGTCACCACTGCACATTGATGAATTTAATCACATTGTGATTCAACAGAAATTGGATTAAAGCTCATGAGACAGGCTGATGATAACGTTGAAATTTTTCCTTGAACCATCTTTCCCACACAAAAACATGACAACACTGAGAGCAGGACGACAACCTACAACCACAGAGGCACTAGTGACACCTGCAGGTCTATTCAGGAACCACATAAAAAATAACGTTCGGAAGCAGTTGATTCATTTAGTCTTTGCTTTTGGTGATAATGAAATCCAAACACATGAAGACTAAATTTGAAATAAAAAAAGGCCGGAAATAATTGACCATGCAAGGAGGGCGAGACCCTGTCAAAGGCGTCATCAAATTTTTTACAACAGTTAACTCGTTATTACATGCTACATTTTTAATATTGGTTCTGAAAACATGAAAACATAAGAATGACAAATGCTATTTAAAAAAATGAAATTGTATAAATATTTAGCCCTTATCGGAAACCAGTCTACCGGAAATACGCATGAGGGCGGGACATGTCTGTGACGTCACTTAAACGGGCGTTTCCCAGCCTGCCTGGAGCTGCTGCTGCTTCTTCGCCGCCAAATTCAAACAACGGAGGACTCGTCGCGACTTGTACAACAAAGTGTTTATTTTAAGGTAAGGCATAAACATACACGTCCCCAAAGGAAAAGGCATGTAATGACGTTTCCTTTCATTATCATCGCGTGGGGGTGGAAGACTTTAATCTTTATCTTGCGTGAAGCTCACGATGCGTTCAGGGGCGCTGGCCCGGTTTGAAAATCCCTTGTTTTCCCAAATCAGTTGTCCGTTGTCTGTTGTGTCCAATCTGACTCAATCGGGTACGTGCGTAAAATTTCAAAGATGATTTCCATCCAACTAGTATTTTCGGACAGATCTTTTCACGACGATTGCAATGAACAAAGTATCGATTTCCTCGGACAATTACTAAGAAAATGATGACAATTAAGAAGCTGTGAAAATGCACCAACGTCTTAATGAAAAGTCAATGGGGGTCGAGACTTTGGCTGTGACCCTTATTGTAGAATACCGAGTTTCAAATTTAAGTAACGTCTTTAATCTTAGCGTATTTTGAAAAGACTGTTGTTATTGAAAAGCTTGCTAAACAATAACAGTTATATTAATTATTTCAAATTAAGTTTGGTAAAGTTGCGTAACCTCCAAAAATGTAAATTATATAAACAGTCAAATACAGTAAATAAGAGTCAAGAATGAACAAACACTTCGTAAGCTGTTAATTTATGTCGTCAGGAGCAAATATCACTGAGTTAAATATCACTGAACCATCTTCACGCAGCGTCCAGGAGCAAATATCACTGAGTTAAATATCACTGAACTAAATATCACTGAACCATCTTCACGCAGCGTGGAAATGTCATCGTCATTTTCCGTGATGGATGGGGTGGGAAGAGCCATGGTGGGAGTCTGGCGGGCCCAAACGACCCTGGACGAGTCGGACGGCGCTGAGAGCTCCCCGGAGGCCCCGGACCACTTTCGCAAGCTGCGCTCTTCATCCTCCCTCAACACGCTACGCATGTCCCTGCGCAAGCGCCTCCCGCTGCGCGCCGTCCAGGCCAACTCCCTTCCGGAGGATGCCAGTGGCGAGCCCCCCAAGGGGGAGCCCAAGAGCAGCACCGTCCGCAAACTGACGCGAAGCGCTCGGAACTCCATCTACGGGGTCTATCAGGTACCAACACTCGACGAAAGGATACGAATGTGACTATCTTTATGATCGTTTTTTTATTGTCTCCTACTCAGAAGTTGCAGAGGAGCAAGGAGTTCTCCCGCGATCAGTGCTTGGTGGCGACACCGGGGCGCATCTGCGAAGGGGAGGAGTCCGCCTCGCTGGCGTACCACACCCCGAGACGCACCCCGAGGTCCGCGGCCAAAACGGGACGCACACCGGGCTCCAGAGGGAGGAGGACCCCCGACACCGCCGCCCTCGGGGTGAAGCACGGAAGAGGGCGGAGGCAGCTGGTTCGCATGGCAGCGCTGCGAAGCCCCTTTGCTTCTCCCAACATCCAGAACCGGAGGCTGTGAGTCACGGGGATGCTGCGCCCCCCCTCCCACACAAATGACAATTTGCTTCCTTCTTTCTCACTTTTTACCATCTTTCCCGTGACAGGAAGTTTGACCAGGATCTGGAGTCTGTCTCAAGTGGACTCAACAGGCTTAAACGTCTCTCGAGGGCTTTTGATGAGCTCATCGGAAGAGATGACAAGTAAGGATTCTTCTGCGCCGCACAATATAAATACGACTTGGGGTGCCCAAGTCCGGTTCTCGAGATCATCCGTCCAGCATGTTTCTGATATATAGTCAGTGTGGGTGCTCTGCTTGCTAGTTATTCAGGAAAATAACCACCATGCAAAAAAAAAAAAAAAAAAAGTGGAGGCGGAGCAGAGGAAAAGGGGAATCTGCTCTGTCATTGATCATGAGGACTCTGACCATATTCGTCTGTGAATGAAACATCTGTGTGTGTTTGGGAGAGCCGTTAGTCTGGACTCCAGAGAGCCTCCCGTCCAATCGGTCCTAGCCGGCGTCTCCCGACACTTCCCTCCCACCCATGTACATTCTTTCCCGCCTCGATTTCAAACTGAGGGGCAGAGCATGGAAAGGGAAGCAAGCGCGTGTGCGCGTGCTCTGACCAGATAAAATTCCAAGAATGTGTCTGACTGGTCGTGCTCTTGCGTGTCACTTCCTGCTGTGACGTTCAGCGTGTGGAATTACAGCAGTGGTCTCACATAAACATAAAGTGTTGTTTTTTGTTTTGTTTGTTTGTTTTACCCCGTTCCTACAACAGGCGCTTCGGTTATTCCCAAATTGCAGATTAAAGGGAGAAGGTAAATGCATCCTCACGAATGGCAACAACTAAAAGAGGAATGATGAGCATGTGAAGGAGATGCATGTGCCCGGAGTGAAAACAACACTTTTCTTTGACTTACTGTTCGTTGCTTGTTGACGGTGGAACCTCTACTGGTGACAGCGCGATGACCTTCATACATATGGATAAATTGATGAAAACGCATCGTTTTTGCCATTGACTTTATTTTAATACCACCAAAACAAAATGTTTTAAAAAAAACGTTCAAACTGTGGTCCTCCAACGTTTTATACCAAGTATTACCTGAAATAAAATTGGCTCTCCAAGGACCACCAACGTTAAAATTTCAATGATTCAACAAAAATTCTATGAAGAAAAAAATGCGTACCCATACTAAAAAGTTAAATACAACTGCACTCCATTTGGGCAGTGATTCTGTTGCATACCACTAGAGGGAGCCCGTGTACCAAAAGTGGTACTGTACTGGAACCGCAATTTGCGACTCACTGCTTCATACAATTTGAACTGAATACAGCAGCATTGCTCCAAATGGACTTTTCGGGGTTCCACCGTTGAGTCTCTTCTTTTACAAAAACCTTCCCATCATCTTAACGTCGCTTGTGCGTCTCAATAGTCCACTGACAACAGAAGAACTCATCGAACTGTTGATTGTCTTTTGATCGATTTCTCTTTTAGGCGCACCACACCGGACAAGTGCGGCTGTTCGACAGCCTCGACGACGACAACAATGACGACGATATTGATGAGGAGGAAGTTGGACCCAAACGGGAAGCTCAGCTGCTCCAACCTGAGCCACCAAGCCTCGCGAATGTCGGAGCGTTTTGGTGGCTGGGTCTGCGCCATCCGCAAATGAGGCCTTCGCTCAATTTGTGTGACATCGCGAAGGACCTTTCCTCTGTACATAAGCCATGTTACAGGAAACAAAGGTGTCACTGTGTTTGGTGGGAAACACATTGAGTTGTGATACCGCAACATACTTGACATTTTTTTTTCCTCCGAACTTGCCTATTAGCAGTTGTGATTGGTTTGGTTACTTGTGTCGCTAGGCTAATTATGGGTCAACTATCCTAAAATGTACTTGTGTTTTGTTTTTCCTCTAGCTGCTACAACCAAATGTATTAGTTATGATGTTTTTTTTTAATATAATCACTAATTTTTGCTAAATTAGAAATCTTGTTTGAAGGAATAAGACCAAAACTGTATCCGTAGAACTAACACTAATATGTATGCATTTGCAATGTTATTAATACTGTATTTGTAGACTTGTTTTAAACATGTTTTACATATGAATGTGCCTTTTTTAAATACATGTACGTTTTTCTACGCGTATGTATACCCCAGGGAGATGCGGGAGCTTATAATGTGACCTGTGAGTGATTTATGTCGTCCACTCGTTTTGTGATATGCAAGACCCATTGGGGGATAAAGTGAGCCGAGTATTTGCTCCTGAAAGCCTCCCTCGACCACCTTTCTCATGACAGGAAGTGGGGAAACTTGTCAAATGTGAATTAATTAAACTGTCATTTATAGTAAAACTACTTGTGTGATATAATTTTGGTGTTTTACAGATTTTCCTAAAACTGGGTGCAATAACAATTTAAGGGTGGTGTGCCAATTTACAAATTTAGTAGAGTCCTTAATTTTTGCTTGTAGAAACTATTATTATAAATAAAAAAAAAATCATAGTCTTGCTTGTGATAAACAATGACGCCTCCTACAGAACTTAATTATTTATTGTTGAAGTGGAAAGATCTGCGTTCCTTTTAAAGCAGTCCAATTAGATCCGCTATTTCCGCTAAGTTTGACCCTTCTCCCTTGCCGTCGTAAGGCCGACGCCTTGCCAGGGAAGTTCCGCCCCTTCCCCCGATCTCTCCGGCTTTGTACTGTCCACGCCGCGGCTCCTCTGCGCACAGTGACGCCGCAAAAAAAAACAACACCAATGGCTCTCCACGTTCCGAAAGCTCCGGGCTTTGCCCAAATGTTAAAGGATGGCGCCAAGGTGATCTTCGATTTCGGTTTTACATTGGGGCTTTGCCCTTCCTTGAGTCTCGTTGTGAACCAACGTGCTCGCTCGTTAGCTTTAGCCGCCTCGTTAGCGCGTACCTGCGTTCACATGCAGAGTGACAAGAAGAAAGTTCTGGAGGGTGGCCGGCGTTGTTGGGAGCATCTGGACATCCATCTGCGTTTGTGCAATTGTCCCGTGTGTTCAATGTGAACGTACATTTTTGCATTTTATATTATTAGTGTTGAGACGACAGCTCAGAGCCAAGCTATCATGAGTAGTGCTAATGCGAATGGGTGAGGGAAGTGACTAAAATGAGCTACCGAAGTTCAATGTTCAAATTATAGAAATTTGTCATTGTAGTAATAATGCGCATTTTGTCAATTGCAACAATTACCTCGGAGGGCTACAGCTTCTTAAGAAAAATACTTGGAAAAAATGAAATCCTGTTTGTGTTTACTCTCGGAAAAAGTATGTTTCACTAGGGAACAATGGATATTTTTTTTCTCAGAAAAAAATGTGATGTAATATTTATTTAAAATATCTAGTTATTCTTGAAAAAAAATAATTTCTAGAAAAATGGTGCATTCTCAGAACAATACGACCAGGTTATAGGGGGGAAAAAAGCTTTTTAAAAAATCAGAAAAATATTTTTTTCCCACAAAAAAATGTGTTTAAATAACAGAAGTATGACAAATTTCTTGAAAAAAAAGAAACCAAGAAAATGTAAAAAGGTTTATCCAGGATAATTTTCAACAAGCCATTTGGCGAATACCGGACGATAAGGTGGCGCCTAATGGGACTTTAATTAAAACAAGCTTTCTACAAATGATTAACTATTCGTAAAAAACGACATCTTTTGCAGCACTATTCAGGTCTTGAAGAGGCAGTCTTTCGCAACATCCGAGCCTGTAAGGAACTTTCTCAGACTACGCGCTCGGCTTACGGGCCCAATGGTACGTGCCAATCCCATTCAATTTACAGTATCACTGAAAATGATCAAGGGGCAGAAAGTAACCCTTTTTTTTTTTTTTTTTTTTTTTTTTACCAGGCATGAACAAAATGGTCATCAACCACCTGGAGAAGCTGTTCGTCACCAACGACGCCGCCACCATCCTCAGAGAGCTGGAGGTAAGGCAACCGGCGTTCCCGCCCGCCATTTCGATGACATCATCCATTTACTGAGTCTGACCTCTGTGTTGTGACCTGTTAGGTGCAGCATCCGGCAGCCAAAATGATCGTGATGGCGTCCCACATGCAGGAGCAGGAGGTGGGCGACGGCACCAACTTCGTCTTGGTGTTTGCCGGCGCCCTGCTGGAACAGGCGGAGGAGCTTCTACGGATGGGCCTCTCCGTGTCGGAGGTATGCTTGCATTCATGCCGCTATATAAAATTCACTTTCAAAATCTTCTAGGGGGGGAAAAAAAAGGAATGTAATCCATCGTGGAATAACAATATTTGGAAACGGCTTGGCCAACAGGTGATCGAAGGCTATGAGAAGGCGTGCCGCAAGGCGCTGGAGCTCCTGCCCGAGTGCGTGTGTTCGTCAGCCAAGAACCTCCGCGACCTGAAGGAAGCCTCTGCGCTGATCCGCACGGCCGTCACCAGCAAACAGTACGGCAACGAGGACTTCCTGTCCGACCTCATCGCACAGGCTTGCGGTAAGCACCGACGCCCCCTTCTGGTCGCTGCGCCATTCGATTTCTCCCCTTTTGATGTCCTTTTTATTTCCCCCTTTGTGCTTCAGTGTCCATCTTCCCAGAGTCCGGCAGTTTCAATGTGGATAACGTCAGAGTGTGTAAGATTCTGGTGAGGGTCCTCCAACGTGTGGATGAATTGATTTTTCCTTGGGGGGGTTTAGGCCACATTGACTTTTTACCCGCGTCTTCTCAGGGTTGTGGTGTGACGGCGTCATCAGTGCTGCACGGGATGGTGTTCAAAAAGGAGGCGGAAGGAGACATCACGTCAGTGAAAGACGCCAAGATCGCCGTCTTCTCCTGTCCCTTCGACTGCATGGTGACGGAGACCAAGGTGAGCGAATCGTCAAGAGTCGTTTTGAGCAAGTCGACCTCTCAAGTCTGAAGTCGAGGAATCCCCCCACTCGGCCGCTCCCCGCGTGGAGTTTGTATGTTTTCCTCCCCGGTCTGTCGGTTTCCTCCCCGCATTCCCAAAAGCGACGCATTCAAGCGCGCTGTGTCGCGCAGGGCACGGTGCTCATCAACAACGCCAAGGAGCTGATGGACTTCAGCAAGGGCGAGGAGGACATGATGGAGACTCAGGTCAAGGCCATCAAGGAGGCCGGCGCCAACGTGGTGGTGACGGGCGGCAAGGTGGCCGACATGGCGCTGCACTACGCCAACAAGTACGAAAAATAGGTTGTCAGGTAGGGTGTGTGTGTGTGTGTGTGTGTGTGGGGGGGGGGGGCTATAATGAAAAGCATTCTCGCAACAAAATGGAGGGTTTGAAAGGCGTGTGGGTTTGGCGGCTATTGTTTTAATTTTAAAACGGATATATTGAGAAATTATTTCAAGTACCATCTTTATTCTCCTTCAGGCTGAACTCCAAGTGGGACTTGAGGAGGTTGTGCAAGACAGTGGGCGCCGTAGCTCTGCCGAGGCTGGTAAGCGTCACCTCATCTTGTCCCATTTGTCTCAAAAATGTATTTTTTTTTTTTTTAAGACACTTGATTGCTCTCTAGACTGCACCCACCCCCGAGGAGATTGGTCACTGCGACAACGTTTGCCTGACGGAGGTGGGCGACACTCAGGTGGTGGTCTTCAAACACGGTGCGTCATTTCTCGGCATCGGCGTCTCGTGTGATAGAAGCGTCAAGTTAAATACATTTTTTTTTTTTCACGCATCAGAGAAAGAAGATGGCGCCATCTCCACTGTGGTGATCCGAGGCTCCACGGACAACTTGATGGATGACATCGAGCGGGCCATCGACGACGGAGTTAACACCTTCAAGGTCCTCGTTAGGGTGAGTGGCGTCATGGGCGGGGGATAATTCACAATGTTTTTGTTTGTATTTCAATGAGACTGCATTTTTTTTGCTCACAATTTCACAGTTCCTGTTTGAAAATTAGTGATGATGTCACAATTTGGGGAAATTCAGAAGGGCTCACAAGTAGAACCGTACAAGGATTTGAAAAGTCAATTTTCGCCGCTTTTTTCCAGGACAACCGTCTGGTCCCCGGAGCGGGAGCCACCGAGATCGAGCTGGCCAATCGGATCACGTCCTTCGGAGAGGTGCGCGCTTTCATTTGGACTCGCACCAAAACATTCTTCATCACGTGACATTTTTCGATTCTTGGTTCCTTGTCGTGAAGACTTGCCCGGGTTTGGAGCAGTACGCCATCAAAAAGTTTGCGGATGCCTTCGAAGCGTTGCCGCGCGCCCTGGCGGAGAACTCGGGCGTGAAGGCCAACGAGCTGATCTCCAAGATGTACTCGGCGCATCACGAGGGCGACAAGAACGCCGGCTTTGATATTGAGGTGGGCCGCGAAACGAGAGCAATGACGAGCCCCTGCAAATGCGTGTGGCACATTTTTAGGGTTATTTCAGGAACGGATGACATTTTGAAATGAATATGCTTTGCCAAAGAAATACGGAGTCCAGATTTTTTTGTCCTGGTTTTCGTTGTCTGCTATTTTGTGTCTTAATTGTAACACAGATGACGTGATATGAATATTCTTTGGCAAATCTAAACTCCATTCAATGCCCTTTCCGTCATCTTGTCAGAAAACAATTAAAAAGGTGTAAAATGTTGCTGCGCGCTTGGAACGAGGGCTGGAAATTCAAGCCGCTGCTGTTGGCTTGATTTCATGTATCGTTTTCCAGGGAGACGGCCCCTCGGTGAAGGACGTGGCCCAGGCCGGCATCCTGGACCCGTACCTGGTCAAATACTGGGGCATCAAACTGGCCACCAACGCCGCCATCACAGTACTGCGAGTGGATCAGGTACGGAGTTCGGATACGCACTTTGACCCACAAAAGACGCAAACTTTGGTCATTTTTGCGTCCGGTCCAGAGTTTTTGTGCGGCAGGTTAGCTTAGCTGTATTTGTACGACCCAGATCATCATGGCTAAGGCCGCAGGGGGACCCAAGGCTCCCAAACAGAGGGGCCACTGGGACAAGGACGACTGGGACGAGGAGCCCGATAAGTTTGAAACGCACCAGTAGAACTTAACAGTCAGTAGGCCCTGGAACGTGTGTGCTTTCATTTTGTCGCTCACGGGTGGAAAGTTGCCTGCCACTACTAACTTGAGTGAAAAAAAAAAAAAGTGACGTCAAGGATGTGTTGCGGAATGAATACAGATGCGATGATGTGATTGCATGCGCATGTTTCTTTTAAGTGCACCTCGTTGGGTGAAATTGTGTGTTCGTTTGTTGCACGTCACCAGCAGTCTCACAGTTATTGAGAAACCATTCTTGTTTTTCCTCTGGAAAATATTAGCCTCAGTTTTGTGGTTTACGACGCCTGATATGTAAATCATAGCAAGCGTACAGCCGATGTCCCGCAGTATCTTAGCAGCCTCTGCTGACTTTGAAACACTTGATTCTGTTTATGATTTCTGGAATTAAATATTGTGGCCACGGTGAGAGGAGAAGTTTAAGACAAACAAATGATGACCAGGGACACTTTTCCTTCCTCAGACCTCCTTCAACGCACTTCACCTGAACCACGTCATTTCTGATCTGTGCTTCTGGTTGCTCTTTTTTCAGATCATCATGGCCAAACCAGCAGGGGGCCCCAAACCACCACAGGGCAAGAAGGATTTCGATGAGGATGACTGATCATGCCTGTTTCTCTTCTTTTTTTTTTTTTACTTGTTTATTTAAAGCTCTGCATTTCGGTTTATTCTGTAGGAAGTCTTCACAACAGTCGACATAATGTGGACGGACCGCACTGTATCATTCTTCCTCGCAAATAAAAGGCACTTGCGCTGTCAAGTCTGACTGTATTGTCGCTTTATTACACAATTCGTGTAATGTTCTATATTTAGAGCATCATGTAATGCATTATTTGTCGTTTCTTGTGAATTATGTATCCCCATTCGCCATTCGAAATGGATATGAATAGGAATTGACTGCCTGTACATCCGATGCCCTGATTTGGTAGGCAGGTGGGCGGTGTTTCAAGCAGTCCCTTGGTTCCCGCGCTCCCATTGGCTGACGAGCGTGTGGGGCGGATTGGTGAGACGTCACCCGCATCCAGGATTAACCTGTTTTTTTCTGTTTTGTATTTTTTTATGTCACCATATTATGGCGACTCTCTCCTTTTTGGAGTAGATTGTCACTAGAAAGTGACGTTTGTTACAACTCCTCGCGAGGTTTCCGAAATCGCTTTGGATCGAGAAGATTCCGGAGGAGCGCGACGACATCGATGAGGCGCGCTCGCGTCGGCTGTCGCGCAGATGGGGGCCGACGGCAGCAAGAAGGTAAGCGGAGCGGGGGGCGGGCGACATTTAGGGGCCGTGTGATGCTAGTGATTCAGACAAGGGGTTCCCGTTTCCATGGTGATCGTTCGGCCTGCGAGGACTCGTTTTTGAGGGGACTTTTTAGTACTTTGCTCATTGAAACGGCGGTACTTTGTGGTATGTTACTACAGGAGGCACAGTAATGGAATCCTAGACGCTCCGTTACACAGAGCACATCTGCTTTGTGGCCCGCGGGCATGCATCAGTCATGTGACTAACCACTTCATTACCCCTAGCAGTTGAGCTGTTTGGAATACCGGTACTCTGACTCGCTCGGACAACTCAAGATAGAATGCAAATAGTGAGTTTAAAAATTGTGAAATCAAAAGTGAGCACGCTGAAGTCGAGCATCCGGGTACTCTTGGCCTTACGCGGTGCATCCGGAAATGTGTGACTTCGTCCGCCAATTTGCCGTCGGAGAATGAATGGCGTTTACAAAGTTCTTCTTGGTATTCAATCCTAAAAAAGTTGATGACACGACAGTTTTAATTATTGCCCGTTTACCTCATTTGAGAATAAATTGACACTCTTCAATAAAACACTGAAGTACATACCTCTTAGTAAGTTTCCTTGAATTCTCGCCATAGAGCCACTTTTTTCATTCTAAATCAAACCTTCTCTGAATTCATGCGTTGGTTTACTGTGCATCATGACTTCCCAAACTCCACCAGAAGCCGGCTGATGGCCGGGAGCAAGAGCCCCTCTCTTCAGGCTGGCGTAGCTTCCTGTCCAGCATGGGCCTGTCACTCCCCGCCACCTTGTGCCGCCTGGCGCCGCCAGCTCTGCGCATGGGTCAGCGGCGCATGCTCCAAGCCGGGTCGCCTGACATACCCGAGCACGTCCTGAGGCTGGCAGGCGTGGGCCCTGAAAAGCTGAGGTCCGAGTGGAGCCTGCCGGGCCTCAATGCCATGTTCCTGCCCGAGTTCCCCCACAGGGCCTTGCCTGGACAAGAGCACTTTCAGGTCGATGCCTTTTTCAACTTGTGCCTTGTGTGCACTTGTGTTTTTGTGTATGACGGTGTGTTGCTTTTTCAGGTGTTAGGTTACATCGCCAAAGGTTCTTTTGGACCAATCCTCAAGGTCAAGGACAAGACCAAACAGAGAACCTATGCGGTCAAGGTAGGTCCTAAAAATTTGATAGTAGCTCTGTTTAATAATCTGTTACTGCGTCAAACTATTGCTATCACAAAACTCTTAAAAAGAAATTTTTGTAGATGTTACACAAGTGTAAAAAGAAGTCAACTGCCGTTAAAAAAAAAAAAATGTTGTCAAATCTTGTCTTAATGTGAAGACGAAAGTGTCGTGATAACATTGTGCGGGTCCGCAGGTGATACCAAAATCTGAGATCCTCCGACTGGGCGTGCTGGAGCAGTCGAAAGAAGAGGTGATAGTTCAGGTGAGTACTTCTCTAACATGTTCTCGGCGGGTTGAAGCGGTTGAATTTCCCACCGGTTTTAGCGCCTCGTCCCGCTGGAGCCGAGCGGCGGCACAACTCTTTTGAATTTTGCCCGCAGCGTCAGATTCGCCACCCGTTTGTCCACGACCTGCAGGACTGTTGGCAGACGCAGCGTCACCTCTACATTAGTGAGTCAGCCACAGAACAGTGAGCCCCCTTCAGCCCCCCCCCCCCCTTCCAAAGACCCTCACTTCAAGCTCACTATACACATCCTCACCTCCAATCCTCCCCAATCCCGAGGCTCGGAAAG